CATATCACCCTACATGGTACAGAGAGTTAAGAACACGAAGGAAAATCAGAAGGGTCTCGCCGCTTCTGTGTTTGTGCTATGCCTGCCGCAAAGGAAGAGCGTGGAAAGTGCTGATGGGAAAAAAAGCGTGGATGAAACAGAGGCCAACAAAGCACATAGCCATGAACAAGTTGTGGGTTCTTTTTTTGGAACGCTCGCCGCTTCGCATGGAAAGGAAGCAGGCATCCTCCCCTTCATCGTCTGACTCCATGTCTGCCCAGCCTTGGGTATACAGTCTTGGAGATGCTTGGAGACCAGGCCCTGGGGATTAATGTGGATATCTATCGATTATTACAGTGGCTCTCAAGCCACTTCGGGTGCCAGACGCTTTCGCTTGTACTCCATGGATCCTGGCCGGCCAGCCACGAGCCGCGGCATCCAGAGAGAGAGAGAGGAGCAGTCATTATGACCATGTCATATCGAAAGAAGGTGGTGGCAGGTCGAACTGTAATACTGTAATATCAGGCAGTATAGCTCCCTCCTTCCATTCCGCATATTCTGCCAAGAGTCGGAAAAACAATGCCACACCGGAGATCTTATTCTGTATCCAAGTGGCTTCGGTTGGCCAAGGGCAACGGGTGAATGAGTGAAAGTACAGCGAGTTTGAAACATCTTGATGAACATCTTGAAACAAGTCTGAAACACTGTGACACAGTGGTCCAACTGTCTTCTTCCTGCACAAGCAAAGCAGGCCAACGCACGACTGACAATTCACGACTAACTTCCTTGGGGTTCTTGGGCTCGGCCTCGGCCTTTGGCTTTGGTGACGGCTGTGCCTGCTTTGTGCGATGATGAAAATACACCGACTCTGCACGCGTCCACAAATCAACGATAAATCCTCCATAAATCCTCCGTAAATCCTCCATAAATCCACCATAAATCCTCCATAAACCTTCCATAAATCCTCCATAAATCCTTCATAAATCGACCGTAAATCTTCCATAAATCCACCGTAAATCCATTATAAATCCTCCCTAAATCCACCATAAATCTTTCACAAATCCATCATAAATCAACCGTAAATCTTCCATAAATCCACCATAAATCCTCCATAAATCCTCTGTAAATCCACCATAAATCCACCATAAATCCTCCGTAAATGTTCCATTTATCATCGATAAATCCTGCATAAATCCACCTTCAATCCTCCATGAATCCATAAATCCACCATAACACTACAATAAATCCTCCGTAAATCCTCCATAAATCCCCCGTAAATCCACTATGAATCCTTCATAAATACATCATAAATCTTCCATAAATCCTCCACAACCTCCATAAATCCACCATAAATCGTCCATAAATCCACTGTAAATCCACCATGAATCCGCCATAAATCCATCAAAAATCCTCCATAAATCCTCTGTAAATAAACCATACATCCTCCATGAATCCTACATAATTCCTCGGTGAATCTTCCATAAATCCACCATAAATCTTTCATAAATCCTCCATTGATCCATAAATCATTCATAAATCCACCATAAATGTTCTGGTGGTTTTGTTGTTCTGGGGTGTTTCTGGTGGAATTCG